TAATATCTTCTTCTAATGAAATGGTATATTGGCTATCTATTGTTGCCTAACAAATTATCCCAAAATATAGCAGCTTTAAAAAAAACATGTAATATCTTACGCTCTGTGGGCTAGGAATCCAGGAGCATGTATTGGGTGGTTCTGGCTCCATGGATGGAAGATCTGCTGCCAAGCTCACTTGCATTGTTGATGCATTGAGTACTGCCTGGAGATCTCAATTCCCTCTCACATTAGCCTCTCACTGACTGCTTGAGAGTCCTCCTACAGCACCTGGCTTCCCACAGAGACTGATCTGAGAAATGGAAGCCACAGTCTTTTAATAACATAATATTGAAAGTGACATTTCAACACTAATGCTGCATTGCATCAGTCTGTTACAAAGACCAACCCTGGTAACATGAGCAAGGAGACTACATGGAAGTGTGACTAGCAGGACGGGGCCGCCTTGGAAGCCAGAGCTAATGTGAGAGATAACTATAAACAGATATGCTTACTTCACCACGGTACTTGACTCTGGGGTGCTTTCTGTATACACAGAAGCTTCAGGCAATTAAATATGCCAAGATCTTTTAAAATATCACAATGGCTTTTAATATGAGAAATTGCTGGTAAGAGATAAGATGGATATAGTCACTATACATCACATTCACCCTCATTTATTTACTTACAAGTCATGGATTTGTTCTGCTAAGCTAGCTCCCTCAGTTACCATGACAACAACTCAGAGGTAAAATTCCTTCAAGCACAAATGCAACGTGAGAAATAAAATTAAATTGCTTCTCGGCCTTTTGGCTAAGATCAAGTGAAATAAAATTAAGACTTGGAACAAAGAGCAGAAAAAACTGTCTTTATTTTCATAAATGGACCTGAGAAATTTAAAATTATGCAACAAGGTCCAACGAGAGAGCCTCAAAAAAGAGATTATGCATGGTTTCATTTCAAAAAATTATAATAGAAATATTTTTTAAAATGGGGACCATGAGAGGAAATTCTAACATCTACAATACATTATCATGCGGAGACTGGAATGTGAAGCCGGTGGGGCACTTGGGGAGCCCAGGAGGACTGGGGTGGTGCTGAGTAGGGTCAGGGTGAGGAGACATGGAAGGAACCATTCCCAGACCAGCTAAATCCACAAATCCCTCAACCACTGGCCCAGGCTTTGGTTACTGCTGTGGATTGTGCTCTTGGCTGCATCAATTAACCTCTCAGAGTCGTAGACATCTGCCCTCTAACTCCTCCCCAAAGCTGCTTAAGTAACCCTAACCTGGCATTTTCATGCTCTCAAGTGAAAGACATGGTACCAGTGGAAGACATCTGAGATCTCTGAGCACACCTCCGTCTTTCTCTCCTTGTTCTGTCCTGGTGATTCAAGAAAAAGGATCAAGACAATCCCTGTAAAACAGGTTCACTTGGGAAACACTCTTGCCATGCATAACCCTAGAAGAATGTGTCGCTGAAAATCTATGGAGGACTCTAAATGCCAGCCCAAGGCCTTGCTGGAACAATTTGTTCTCTTAATCCCTCTGAATGAAGTTCCTTTAGAAAGTAAGAAAGACGGTAACTGACACATTCATTAAAACTTCCAGCATCATTTGGAGATTGTTGATTCCCCCTTGTACAGTAATTCTATCTATTTTTCGTTGTATATACTTTTAGGCTATGTTTTACAGGTATACAAATTCACCACTTTTACAACTTCTTATTGTTTCTTTGATCATTAATTAATGACCTTTTAATCCCACTGATGCTCTTATTATAGTCTATTTGTTAGGTATTAATTTTGGTATATCACCCTTTATTTAGTCAATAATAGCCTTTTTGGATTGTTGAGTTTTAGGAGTGTTTCTGGCAAACATTGAAATTTTTTTTTATTTAACTTAAGAGTTTCTAATTGAGTCAGATGAGTTTAACCCACTTATATTTACTGTATTATTGATATATTTAGACTCATTTTGTCATCTTCTTTTATAGTTTTGATTTACCATGACTTTTTTCTTTTCTTCTTTTGTTCTTCTTTTCTGCCTTGTATTGGATCAAGTCATCTTTATTCCCATATTCTATAATATTCAAAGTTAAACATTTAATCTCTATTCTTTTATGGTTACCACATTTCTCATTTTTATAACTTACCTTTTAAATAAAACAAAAGCTAATTAATGCTTATCTTAGTCATCAAAACAACAAGGACATATAACTCCTTTCTACTTTCGTTGACTTCACTATTTTTTTAACTTTCCTTCCAGAATGAGTTAAAATTAAACTTCTAAGAGCCAATTTTAGATAAATCTACCAGCAGATCAATTGGGGTGTTCACTTCTTGATAAATTACTTCCTTTAGTAGTTCTTTGAGCAAGAGATCTTTAGTCTGATCTCTTAGATTTTAATCATCTACAACACATTATTTTTACCCTCTTTCTTGGATGATACTAACTAGTTATAGAAGTCTAGGTTTTCAAGTATTCTCCTTTATCACTTTGAAGATATTGTTTTGTTTTGTTCTGACATTTATCACTGCTTATGAAGAATTTGTCATTTTTCTTAGCAATTTTTCTCAGTAATTTTTTCTTCAGTAGTGTTTAAGATATTTTGTTTTCTTTGGCTTTCCGTAAATGCACCTGTGTTGTTTGTTAGGTTATTTCATGGAATTTAGTTTCTGTCTTTAGCTCTAAAATCTCGGCTGTTTTCAATTTGAACATTGGACCTCCCATTTATCTTTCTCCTTTTTTAGTGTTAAAGTGCATTTTTTATTAGTCCATGGACATAATGTTTCCATTCCTTGTGTGGAGTTAGTGCCTGTACGTAACACATCTTCGTTCCTTTTCTCATTCCCCTTCCCTTCCCCTTCCTCCGATCTCCCCCCATCTGTCTCTTGAACCCCTTCCCATTTGTTCCATTTGAGAAAGCTCTATCTCCTTACTGCCTACTATTTTTTTCTCTTTGGGTATTTATCTCTGTTTTTATTTCCTAGAACTCTTGTAGATAGCTATGTTGGGCTTCCCATTCTATCCTCCATATCTTTTGTCTACATTTCTGTACTTTATCTCTCTTATCACAAGTGTGCTCTCTTCTGGACAGTTTCTTGAGTCATCCCTTCCGGTTAATCATTCTATCTTCAGCTTAGCATAAGCTATTGCTCAACTTTTCTATTTAAGATTGTTTCAATGACCGGTTTCCTTTTACAGAATTTCTATTTGGCTAGTTTGCAAGTCAATGCTTTTTTTCTTTTTAAAAATAAAATCCTATTCTTGCTTTATATACCCTATTCCTTCCTTGTTTAAAAGTTACGTTCAGATTTCTCTGTTCTCCACTGTTCCTTATATGCACTTGTTTCCTCACTTGCTGTGCCGCCTAGTCAGTAGGACTGTACCAATGTTTGATCAAAATTCCTTATCTGCCTTGTGATTTCTGTCTGTGAGGTCATCTCCAGAGGAACCTCTGTTGCAAAGGTTTTATATATACCCTGGGTTGCTGAAAACTTCCTGTGGGAATGTTTGCCCAGTGGCTCTGGAACTATTCCAGGACCAGAATAGTCTTCTGTTAGGGATTTCGACCCTGCACAGGTAGTTGTAAGCATTCTAGCTACACATCAACATTCAGGAGAAGTTATGGCTTCCAGTTTCTCACAACTGATTTTATCTCCATCCACAGGCCAGGGCCAGAGATCTGTATCCTGGTCATATTATAATTCATGGACAGAGTTTTCCTAGTCTCAATTCATGTACAGAGTAACACTTTGCTGATTCCAGGCCTCATGAAATAGCTAAGTTCTAGGTATTCCTAAAACTTTGATCTCATCTCTAGCATTAAAATCAAAGTCCCTATAATGCATTGCCAGTTTAGTTCCCTTCATGTGTCATTCAAGTTTTTATTTACTTTAGCCTTAAAATTTTGGAAAGATAAATTTATAGAGTCAAAAGAGAGGCTTTCTACTGTAGTTTATTCTACCATCTTCAGTTTGAATCCCAAGAACACTATTTTTCCTTAGAAACCGTATTTTTCTGGGCTGGTTTTGAGAGGTCACAAGAGGGATTTAAAGTCTCAGCAAATTATAGCTCAGTGCTGTAGCTGTTGGTAGCTTATGTAAGAATGAAAAGAACAGATCAGAGAACTGAGACCTGAAGGGCAGAGGATACATGAAGGATATCCGGGAAGAGAACAGGGCCGGGATGGAAAGGGCATCTGAATTGCTCTGCCCTGCCGAGGCCTTCCCTGGCCGTGGGGCATCTGCCCGTTCTGTGGGCAAGGCCACTCCTGCAGGCCTCCTCCTCCAGGGAGGGAGCCAAGCCTGCCATCATCTTGTATTCCATGGACTGCTGTGAAACTGACTCTCGCCTGCTTCCCCCACTCCCAGTGAGGGACAGCCCATGCCTTCTTCGGGTCTCCATGCCATGGACTGAGCTCGCCTGAACTCCTCTGGCTGAGACCAGAGACCAGGCTCACCCCCACCCCATCCCTAGGGCCACCCGCCCCCCAGCTGGGAACAGCAGGAACACCCCTGGGCCCCTGCCTGGGGATTTTCCTGAATTGGAGACCGAGATCCCAGTGACGCACCTGCTGAGTGTGTACGTGTGCATCTGTGTGTCTGCATGTGAAAGTGTTCTGGGTCTGTGTGTGTCTGCATATATCTGTGTGACAGTGTGTTTGAGTGTGTACAGTCAAATACTTTACCCTTCTATTAAATGAAGTCCCTAGAGCGGTCAAGCCCACAGGGACAGAGAGCACAATGGTGGCTGCCAGGGCCTGGGAAGGAGAGGGAATGGCTGTGTAATGGGCACAGGGTTCCCGCTCAGAAAGATGAAGAAGGGTTGCATGGTAGCAATGGTTGCACAGCACTGCGAATGTACTTGGTGCCACTAATTTACACACTTCAATATGGCTAGGGAGGTAAGTGCACATGGTACATGTACAAAAGTTCTTGACTTACAATGGGTTATGTCCCAGGAAATCCACGGCAAGTTGAAACTGGTATAAATCAACTACTGGTGTAAACACACCACAGCTAACCCACCACGCCCCAGCTGAGCAGCACAGCCCACTGGGTGCTCGTTGGTACCCCGGTGATCAGGAGGCTGACAGGGGCCTGCAGCTCACCATCCTGCCCAGAACTGTGGTGGGGAAGCACCAGCCTGGGAAGGGATCCAAGTTCAAAATCCCAACTGCAGTTTCTACTGGATGCGCCTCACCTTTGCCTCACTGTGAAGTAAAGTCCCAAGCTGAAGCACGGTAAGCCAGGGCCTCTTTATATACACACGTAACCCATGGCTGCAGGCCGGTGTGGGCGCAGTTAGGGTCAGTAAGGAAGTGAGCTAGAAGGAGCAGGACGCTGCAGCCTGAGGGCGCCGAGTTTGGTTTTCTTACCTTGGAGGCTGCGCACTTTCCTCCCGGAGTCCTGGGTGTGGCGTGGGAGTGGGTGGCCCAGACCAGCAGAAAACAACGTCCCTGAGGGTAAGAGAGCGAGGAGCTGAGAGCCCACTGTCCGCAGACCTGTGGATGGCGAGGGCGAGGGCGAGGGCGACACCAGGGCCCAGGAGGACCAGCAGGGGGCGCGTGGAGGAGCAGCGCGAGCCTCGGAATTGGCAGCCTTTGCCCAGGGAGAGCGCTGCGCTGTGGTCTGCAGGGGTAATGGCCAAGCTCACAGCACGGGGCTGCAGGAAATGAGCAGCCTGCCTGGAAAGGGGTGCAAGGACAGTGGGGTCCTGGGAGACAGCCAGGGCCCTGCTAGGGTGCGAGGGAAGGGGGCAGAGGGCCCCAAGAAGCTGCTCCAGTCACCAGGGGGACATCGCCGTGTGTGCACATCCTCCTTGAGTCTGGGCTCCCTCTCCGGACCTCCAGAGTTCAATGTCCTGCACTCCACACTGGACAGAATTGCTTCACGGCCGCTCAGAAGCATGCTTCATCACAACCATCGGATGCAAACACTGCGGGAATCTTGGCAGAGCTGGAATCAGGGTGAGAGCCACGTGGTCTGGCCCAGAAGCCACAGCTAGCCGTGTGCCTCCTCCTGGTGCAGGAGGGACGAAAGGAGATCACTCCTGGGGCCTGCAAAGAGTGTGGCCCTGGAGATAGAGCGAGAGTCAGGACTGACCCAGTCGATCATTTGGGGCAGCAGTTCCCGCCTCTTATACCAAACGCTATTCCCATGAGCTCCTATTTTGCCGGTAAACCCACACTTCCCACAGTAATTTGTCCACTTGAATAATTAACCCAGGCCACGTGAGTTGTTAAAGTTCACTGAGACCTATAGCTGTGAAATCCTACAGTTGCTTGGGTTTTGCATGCTGTGTGAAGGCAGGAAGCGAAATCACCTGGATTTCAGAGCACTCACCCCGTGAGGATGGCAAACTGTGCGAGGGCCTAAATAATAAGAAGGTGAGCATTCGTGGGCCTTGGGAAAAGAGGTTACCGTATCCCAGCACTGGCCGAGGCAGCCCTTGCTCGCTGTTCATTTCCTTTAAGTCATTCTTCTTGAACACTTTTGTGGGGGTGCTAGTCATACCCAGGATGGAGCTCTTCCTTGCCTTGGGGCCTTTGCACGTGCTCTCCTCTCTCTTCAGGGCGCCCTACCTCTCACTTGTCCCTCTCTACAATTCAGCTCAAGGATCATGCACTCAGGAAAGCCCCGAAGGCCCTCGGTCACATCAGCTCTTCTGTGGTGTGTGTCCCAGCTGTGAACAAATACCTCGGTGTGTGTTAGCTACACAGTAAGTTCCCTCGGGACCAGGGCGCCCTTCTGCCTCCCAGCATAACCGCAGGTCCCCGCCCAGAGCAGCTGCCCTACACCCACAGCACCTGGGGGAAGAATGAGCCAAGGTGGGCCGGAATGTGGATGTAAACGCACAACTCCAGAGCCCAGTGCTTTTCACTACAGCAAACCGCCAGGGAAGGAAGAGAGGAGGAAGAGGGCCCAGGAGTGGAGGGCTCGTGAGGTCAGGACTGCAGCCCTAGGGTGGCTAGATATCCGCTAAAGCATCAGTGGCCCCTGAAGCCCTGAGGAAGCTGCGCTCCGCTCCGAGTGGTGTGGCGAGCAGCGAGGGCTTTCTCGTGCGCTGCTTTCCTGTGGGCAGGTGCCATCGTGGAGGAAACTGGTTTCCCACAAGTCCGCTCAGTCCCGAGCCGGATCCTAGCAATTCGTCACAGCTGGCTCAGACGCTCAGGGCCTGTCTCAGCACTGCAGCTCAGGGGCCCTTCTGGGAGTGGCAAGGCACTGCCCTTTCTCATGGCTTCAAATGCCCACCTTCCCCAAGTCCCCCCGTTGGAGATTCTGCCCTCTGCTCTGAGCTTCCCGTGGGAGCAGAGCTTTCAGCCTTCGGGGAAGGGGTGATTCTTTCTGCTTTCCTCGGCTTTGGTGCCTTCAAGGAAGCGCAGTGTTCCTGCAGGTTTCCCAGAGACAAAAGGAAACAGGGGCCTGGGGGTGAGAGCATGAGTGCCGGGCAGGGAGGACTCGAGGGTCAGGCAGCCTCTCGCGCACCGTCCCAGACGAGTGAGTGACACAGCCAGCACCTACCAACGGAGCTGCAAGTGCAGGCGTGCCGGGGGCCTTCTTCCGGGAGTCTGAACCACGATGCACCGCAGCTGGTTAAGCTCAGAATGAACTTGCCTTCACCAGCCACTCTTTCACTGTTCCGCTCGGCCCTGTTCCTTGGGTTCGTTGCTCAGATACCTGCTGAGTGTTTTCATCTTCCTCAGCCACAAAGAGCTAAGTCTGCCCAAGGATCCCCCCAGCTCAGGGTCACCAGCAAGGCCCAGCTGTCCTTGGGGAACAGGGTGTGTCCCAGCCACAAACAGAGACTATTCTGGGGCCCAGCTTTTCAGCTGCCCTCTGAAACCAGCTCAGATACGTGAACTGTGGATTGTTCTAATCCTTGTCATTCTCACGTAGAAACAAATTGTATTTTTAAATATGAACAGCTTGCTTCATTTTTAAGTACACAAAATATAAGTTGTACCAGACAAAACTCCAATGCACACTGCCAAAAATAGAAATCTAATAACAGAATCTATCATTTGTGGACCACATTTTCTCCACACTTTGTTGAGCTTTATTTATTTCTTTTAATTCTCATGACAACACTGATAAGTATTGTTATCCTCAGTTTGGATTAAGTAAATTGAGGCCATTTCATTGGCTCATAAAGGTCATGTGAGTGGCTCAGAGTTACAGGGCTGTTTAGTGGTGTAGCCAGGATTTGTATCAGGTCAATCTAACTTCAAAGACTTTACAACCTCTGTGCATTACTGTTGCCTTTGTAATTTATCACAGCAACGGTGACACTAATATATACATATAAGAGAAAATATCATAGTAATAACTACTCATTACTAAAATATTATTGTAACAATTATTCACAATAAAGAACAGTAAAACAGTACTGGAACTCATTTTAGTTAAGACAATCAGGAAAGAGTGAAAGTAGTGAATTAGGGTTTCTAAGAGCAGGTTTAGGAACTGTGTAGAGAAGGGAGAAAGCCAGGCTCCAGAAAGATTGGCAGTCACCCCTCACATCCCCCTCAACCAACATAAGCTAGCCACTGCTCAGTGTCAGCGTTTCAAATCAATTATCATGAAGACGGCAGAGTACACAGGACAAAGTCTTATCTAGCCCATGAGATGTTAATGAATGACTGGTGAAAACAGAACTTCCCATGGGTGTTCCAGTCAATTAATCTCCAAAGCTGGCTTCTACTTCACTGGGACAGAGTTGACCACACAGAAGGGTGGATAAGCTGCATGTGTATATGTGTGATTATGTATGTGAGAGAGAGGAAAAAAGGGAGATATACATACATACACACAGATAGAGGGTAGAGGTTGCAGAGGAAACAAAACTCAAAGTAAGATGGGAGACTGAGGCAGGAGGATCGGGAGCGTGTGGCTAGCCTGGGTGTTATGGCTTATCCAGATGTTCCCCCAAAGCCTCATGTGCTCATGGTGGGAGGGACTGGATCATAGGTGTGTGATACTCAATCATGAGTGTGTGATAGTGGGTTAGTCCACTGATTCATTTAGCATAGTTCTGGCTGGGGGTGACAGTTTTACTGAAGATGGAAAATGCAGCCTGGGTATGGGTGGCACCAACTAATAGGCTTGTAGTCTGGATGAAATAAAAAGGGAAGGCAGAAGGAAGGCTGCTCTGCTTCCTGCCTGCCCTGCCACAGACTGTTTCTCCTCAGTGATCCCCTCTGCCAGGCCACCCTGCCTTGGAGCCAGACGACTATGGACTGAAACCTTTACAAACTGTGAGGTAAAATAAATCTTTCTTCCTTTAACTTGTGGGTAGCGAGTATTTTGTCCAAGCAATAACAAAGTACCTAAGACACTGGACTACATAGTGAGTTCCAGGTCAATCTGGACTACGTAGCAAGTGTCCCAACATCAGGCTTCCTCTCTCAGCAATGCTGTAGATGACAGGGCATTAGTTCTGTACACCCTGAGGTTGGAAAGGGCCTGGCAGGGGAAAGGCAGGGGTCAGGGCTCCACTCAGAACAAGATGCACTGAGGAAAGGCCACTCATTGGGTGCCCAGGTGCCCCAGCAAGCCAAGCCTGGTGTCCTGACATCCAACCATCCCCGTGAGCCAGTGTGGCAGAGTCTAGAGCAGAGCCAGGCAGTCCTGGCGTGTGGGCTCGAAGCCCGAGGGTGAGGAGGAGCACCTGCTGCAACCCCCTGGACAACCTGGGACCTTCTGAACCTCAAGGGCCCAGGTCAGTGATGCTCCTTTCACAGATTGGCAGGACCCACAGGGTGGATGGGGCACTTGCTTGATGTTCTTTCTTGTTTTCTCTCTGATGTGTGGGAAATTCTTTCTGGTGAGCAGAGGTAAAAACCCCCAGGGACTGCTGAAGATCAGGTTGGACCAGAGTCCCAGAGAAAATGAAGACTTCTCAGGGACACTGCAGGTGCCTTGGGAGGTGTTAAGCTGCTCAGGCCAAGTGACATGCTTGCCCAACACATGGCTGCTCGGTGTCCCTAGTCGGTGAGGCATCTCTCCAGGGGCTGGAAGGAGGGTGGTGAGCAAGACACACTGGGGCCCCGATCCCACCTCATCAGGTCCGAGGGGCCAGGAGTCCTGGAACTCTCAAGTTGCCTGGCTCTCTGGATGCCCATCACACACCAAAGGAGCGGAGCTCGAACGTTTCGATCTGGGCTTGGAGTGCAGACCAGACACACAGATGAGGTCCACACAGGCTGGTGGATCTTGCCCCACAGGGAGGAGCAGATGAAATGCTCAGGCTGTGAGTTTAGAGTTATTGTGAGGCTAAGCAGATACCGAAATAGAGACTTCGCACAACGGCTAAAGCAACCCTCTAAATGCCCCTCCTGGTAGCTCTCATTTGTACAACTTCTCACTGTCCTGATTTTACTGAAGTTACATGTATCCCTTCTCTATTTCCTCCAACCCCTCTTCCTCCTTCGCACTAGGCTTTTGTAGGGATTTTTTAGCTTAACTGAAGCCTGTTCAGGACTGAGACAGCACCTTATGCGTCTCTCTTCTCAGTGCCTTGAAATACAGGCTGTGTTCAAAAGCCCCTTTTCTTTCTCCTCTCTTCCGGTTCTCTGTCAAGGGCCTCCCTGGGTTTCCAGGCCTAGAAGTGGACGACAACAGTCACATCGCAGCAGTAGCCCTGCCTCAGGAGCCACAAAGTCACAGTCACCTAAACTCTCTGCCTAAACTCTCAAAGGACTGATTTCATGGATTTTATCGTAGACTTTTCTCTCTAAGTCAGTAGGCTCTGGAGCTGACTCAGTCAAGTCAACTCCACCCATGAAACAAAAATAAATAAATTGCATGGGGGATAAGGGTGAAGAACATTATTTTCAATGAGTCCAAATTTCAAGTCACTGTAGAGTGTTCAATGCAAGCACCCACTATTCCATGCATTTCTGCAAGTCCTGCTTGGTGTGTGTTTCCACTGAAGCACATTAGAGCTGAAATCAGCAAAGAACAAACCTGCTCTGATGGGCTTGTGGAATGCTGGAGGGATACCTGGCCATTAGGCTCCTTTTGAGTGGAAAAAATAAGCAAAATCCTTTGGAAAATAAAGATCTGTGGTTGCCTTACACGTAGCACCCACAGGCTATGGTACCATTGTCAGCATTGTCTCCCTTCCGAAGACAGCAGCTTACTGGGGAGAAGCACACATTCCAGAGCTGCGACTCTTGTGATGAGCTCCAGTCCTGGCACAGTGTCTTGCTTGCCCAGTAAAGGGAAAGAGAGCAGTAACTCAAAATAATTACAATGGATTGGGCCTTGGTGGGCTGTCATGGGTTGATTGTAAGAATGGCTCCAGTTCATTCTTATCTCCCTGAATCCATGCTCGTGGGTAAGGTCCTACCACACTGATGCTGGACTTGGCCAGGTGATTTGATCAAGCCAATGAGGTGGTAACAAAAGAGATGCAAACAGAGACTTGGAAAGCACATGTACATGGAATTTGTCCTTTAACCGCTCTTGGAAACATGAGTTGCCTTGTGGAAAAAACCTAGGCTAGCCAGAAAGAGGATGAGAGATCACATGGGGCAGAAAGGATGAACCACTGTGGTAGCCCTGTCCACGAGGCTGCCCCTCAGGGAACCCAGCCAAGATCTGCCAAACACGGCCCCAGACAGCAGATCCACCAGTTCATTTAAGTCCACACACTGTGCCCACAAAGCTGGGAGCTATAAACAAACAGCTGTTCAGCCATCAAATTTGAAGCATGTGTTACACAGCAAATACTGGCTGATACAAGGGTTCACTTCCTTCATATATAGAGTTCCTACTTATCTTTTTGAAAGAATCCCTAAAAATCAATAAGGGGCTTTACAAATACATTCTCACTCATGAGAAATTTTGTATATTTAGGTGTAGCATTTTCTTATTTTGCAATGGTGAAATATTTGAAAGAATCTTACTTTCTATCCACACAGACCTAACCATACTAACCATACATGACCCCTCTTAAAGGCAATTTGGCAATGTCTACTATATTATAAAATTTAGTAATCTATTCTTTGACACAGAAATCCACTTTGGAGGTTATTTTTCTACAGATATGCCTACATCTTTATTGTGAAAAGATCATTCACCAAAATATTGTTGGAACAATCAAGCAATAATAAAACATTTGAAACAGCTCATGTGTCCATCAACAGCAGACTGGTCAGGTATATCCTCAGTGAAGCATTGTGTAGATATCAACCAAGGATAAGGAAGCTTTTAAAGAACAGATAGATAAAAGATCTCAGAATAACTTACAGTAAAATAGCTAGATAAAGAGAAGTGTGTATAGTGTGCTGACTTATGTTAAACAGTGAAGGATAAGAATGTATATTCTCATGTTATGCTTATTTTGCATAAAAATTCTTATTCTATGAATCAAAAATTACTAACAGTAACTGCCTAGGTGAGGTGAGAGATTCTAAGAAAGGGGCAGATGATTGAAAGAGCAGGAAGGAGAATTGTTACTATGTGTCTTTCATTCCAAGCATGTCTTTCCCCTCATCATTACACCAACAATGCTCTCACCAAGGTCAATGGTGACTTCAACTGAGCTCAGATCCAATGTTTTCTCCTCCATCTTCACTGTACGTTATTATCAGCAGCAACTGACCCATTGATTTTCTGCTCCTTCAAACACTTCTTTCATTCAGCTTGCAGCTTCCAGGACTCCACATTCCCTTGGCTTTCCTCTTACTCCCTGGCTTTTCTCCTTCTTTTTTGTGTGAATCAAAAAAATTCCTTGGGAATTTGGATCACTTCTTTGTAGGAGTTCTTTGTATATGAAGAAAGTGAGCCCATGTATCAGTCAGCTTCTACTGTGTAACAAGTTCACGTTCTTTTCACACTCCCGCGCTGGTATCTCTTATGTTCGAGTCTCAGGGCTCAGTCTTCAGAAGTCTTTTCTATCTGTTCCCTCTCTCACGGTGAGCAAGTCCAGCCTCCTACCTTTACATATTTTCTCTTTAGTTATGGTTCCTCTCAAACCTCCACCTTCATATTTGCTTTCTTCTGAACTCCAAACCCCAGCAGTAATTAATAATAACAGTCATCTCAAATGTAACACAAGCAAAGCAGAATTTCTACTCTGCCTTTTGAAAGCTGCTTCCCTTCTGGCATTGTAGTTAAAGCAAATGGAAGGATTCAGTGCTCATACCATGAATCTTATAGTCACCCATGAGTCTACTTTTTTAAATCCATGCCCAACCAAACACAGCTTAAAATTCCTGATGTTACCACCCTTGTGAAGAGGATTAGTTCCCTTACAAAAGAAGCTTCACAGAGGCTTTTGTCTCTTCTGTGATACATAAAAGTTGCCATCCATGAGGAATGGTCCCTCACCAGACATCAAATCTGCTGATACCTTTGATCTTGGGCTTCCCAGCCTCATGAGCTATGCACAGTAAATTTCAGTTGTTTAAAGTGACCCTGTTTGAGGCATTTTGTGGTAGCAGCCCAAATGGATGAAGACACTTGTGTCCCCGCTCCCACCTCAACCCTCAAATCTGTTCTCCACCCAGCAGCCACAGCGATCTTCCTACATCTCTTCTCCCGTTATTCCTCTGGACAAAGTCCTCTAGTGGGTCCCATCTCATTCAGAATAAAGCCAAAGCCTTAGGGTGGACTTCAGGCCCTCGTGCGGCCATCCCCAGGCAGCCACATGGCTTCCTCCCTTACCTATTGATCTTTGTCCAAATATTGCCTCCCCGGGTGAAGTGCCTGCTCACCATACTGATAATTGCAACAACCACCCTCAAACTCTATACTCCTGCTTATTTTTCTCCAGGTTCTCCAGTTCACCCTCAAATATTCTACATACACAGTCTACCTACTTGTCTATTTCCACCACCACCCTCCCCTCGCCTGCTAGAAGTCAGCTCGGGTGTTCATTGTGACCTCCCTAGCACACATAACAGCATCTAGCATGCAGTGGGCACTCAGCATTTCTTCAATGAATTGTGAGTTAGTGGACTGATATTTTTAAATATGTTACTGGTTATGGATAAAAAGAAACAAGATTTTCATGAGGAAATAAAAAAATTAGCTTAGCTAAATTAATACACTTAGGTTAAAAAAAGAGAAAGAGAGAGAAAAGAATCAGAGAGCTTCATAAATAATCTCCAACCAATTCGCTAAGTGAAAAAACAGGTACACGAAAGAGTATTCTACATTTTCAAAAATTATGTTTCTGGAGTTTTACCCAGGAAACTAGTAATAATCCTTGTCCCTAAATAAAGGGGCTAGATGACTCAGAAACAGAGGTAGGTAGGATTTGATTTCCAATGAGCAACATTTTGCACGTTTGAATTTTGTACTATGTGCAAACAGAATCTGTTCAAAAGAGAAAATAAAATAATAATAAAAGATTAGAATAATAAATGACTAGCACTTGAGTTACACGCCAAAGCTTAACATTCAGTTGTTTAGAAATGAGATGTACAAATTCTCTTTGAACAGGAAGAATGGGTCCCAAGATTTGAATGAAAGACCTGTCTACGTGCACAGGAAAGACTCTATCTGGGGGGAGGGAGGTCAGCCACAGTCGCTTTGCCCATCAAACACCATCTGTGAGAGAAGAAAGCTTGGCCACCCAACCAGCATTTAGTGTCTGATCCAGCAGACAGTCACACTCGTTCCATCCCAGAGGACATGGCATGGGTAAAGCATGGAGACCCAAGTGCTCATCCTCCCACTAACGTGGAGCTCCTGGGGAAGCATCTCCCTGCTGAGCAAGGCTGCTTCAGGACTGAGAAGGGTCCTCCTTCACATCCCCCATCTGAACAGTTCAGACACAACTGCCGACAGGAGAGGGAGGTGTCACAGCTCCCATTCCCATTGGAGAAGTCATCCGTATTGTCTCTTTGTTCAACTCAGGGGTGTCCAATACATTCACTGCTTGTCTAGGTCAACTTTGCACTTGCCCACAGAAAAATGAGAAATGCACAGTATACGTGATCACCTTTTACACTGCTAGTTTATTAAGTTTTGGGTGTGTGGAAATGTCTTCCATGAAACCTCCAAAGACTCAGTACCAGCGATATTTCCAGGGCTGTTAATCCAATGAATTCCAATTTCTACATTGACAGAGGCAGCTTTAGGTTATTACTTGACTTTTCCCAATTGCAGGGAAAGCGAAGGTACTGGCCAGCCATGATTTCTAAGCATTGTGGCTCCTGCGTCAGTTGTTTCTAGTGTAAATAAATAACGGGAAGCCATTATGACACTTGGACATCTTCCTCAAGATTTCTTAACCTAAGTGTGTCCACAGGAGCGAAATCTGCTCCCAAATTCACCGTATGTACCACCAAGAAGTAGCCTGCAGCAGACTCCCCATCCTGTACCGCCTCCCACTGCCCTATCCTCACTCCGACCCCCCAAACAGGAGCAAATAACAGCAAGTCTAGCTTTACCTGGAAATTCAATAAAATTGAACATTTCTAAAATATGAGGTGCTATGCATCAACCAAGCCCTGAAACCATCCAGACCTTTTGATTAGAAATAAAAGTTATCAAGTTTGAGCACATTATCTATTGATGAAATGCATATACAGAATGCTTCTAGATATCTATCTAGATAGATGCACAGCACATCTAGATAGATGATGCATAGCACATCATATCTTAGAAATGCTTAGCTTTACTGAACATATATAATATATATTATGTATATGATTGATGACTATACTAGAAAATAATCAATGTTGGTGGGTGCTAGGTAGGGGACAGGAATGGAGAGATACTTTCTGCTGAAACCTTTAAAATCACTCTGATTTTATGGACCATGGGAAAGTATCACCCATTCACATAAGAAAAAGCAATGTTTATACCTCTTTGGAGCCTTGTTTCTGATGGAAGATTTTGTTGCATGAAGCACACAGATGCACCACAGTTTGGGTTTTCTCTGTGTCTCCAGCAGGAGATAAACTCAGACCCCTCCACAGAGCAGGAGTTCACAGGCATAAGAATGTCTGATAGCCCTGCATTCCAGTTTCTGTATTTGATGTTTTAACATCCTGGAGCCACGCTGCCACTGGACTGCCCCTCCCTGATTTAACCAATTCCTAGAGATAACAAAGGACTCAGATCCTACCTCTCCTTTCCCATGCAAACCAGTGATCCAGAATCCACCCCCCAAGACCTCCTGCCCCAGCTTCTCACAATCCGGGTCACTATCCACCTCCCCTAATCAGTGCAGGGAAGGGTCAGGTTCCAGAAAACTAGGGACAGGGACAGCACCATACTCCAGAACCCTCTGAAATTGTTTAACCTGGCTGGTTCTAAGCCTGCTCACCCTCCTGGCCTGGTACTTCCCAAGAAACTACAATGAAGGCTCTTGCTACACTTTCCCTTCACTCCCTCTGCCTTTGGACCCAATGTGGTGCTTCCTGGCACAGCTCCCCAAGGCCCAGCGTGACCCCTCCTCTTGGGATGTGTGAAGATAACACTGCCTTTCCGATGGCAGACATCTCCTGATCTGTAGGCTGGATGTGCCCCCAAATAATAAAATCAACATTTTAAAATAGACTGAGCCCAGGATAGAATCCTAGTCTGCAGGAGGTATATTAACATCATGGACATGGGACAGAGATTTCAGCTGCAGTTTAAAAAAAAAAAAAAAAAATAGAAGTACTGTGATTTGACAGAATGCCCTCTTAAATGAAGCCAAGAATGTGCCCTAGCCCTACGAGAAGTGGTGAAGGTTAGGACACATTGCTCAGGGCAATTTGGCAGCCATCACCCCTGCATATATTTCTATTAATAAGTGTTCTACCCGTGAGAAACACATTTATTAATGAGCCCAGAATTGGTTCAATTACCAGGCAACTCATGCTTGTTTGTTACCCCAGGAAGAGGGCCCCTGCTAGACTGTGTGTTGATTCTGCAACAATCATCAGAGGCTGGACCGAGTTCACATTCACAATGTGCATTTTTTACTTTACACCCACTTCATGTGTGAAAACCAGCATTTATATGCAAAAGAGACAAAGACAGGATGATTCCTCTGCCTATAAATAGCATCTGCTGAAGGTTCTGGTCATATAGGAAATTCAGGTGACTTAAATGATTTCATTCACCAAAAAGAATTTATTTTAACTGCACACTATGCAGGACCCTGTCTGGTGTAGTCAGCAAGGCTCAAGACCCTCACACAATTGTCAGAAGCAAAGAGGGTGTGCTGGCCACTACTGCCAAGGGGCCCTTGGTTGCCAGAGTAACAGGCAATGTGGTCAAGGAACACCGGAGAGGAGCAGTCCCCGGACGAGGGGCATCCAAGAGTGCAAATTCAGACTCGACTCTGAACTCCTTAGGTGCTGTTCCCAGAACTGATGCTTCAGAGGCGGAAAACTCACTGTTCTTTCGTTTGGCCAAGCTTCTTGTGATTGTTTTTCTGCTCCTTGTCAATGCTTTAAGATTGGGATATTCTGCATGCAAAGTCAGATTTTTACCCTCTACTGAAAAGCTGGGGGATCTGGCCACACACAGCCCACACGTCTAGGTGACACTGTGGGTGAAGCGAGGTGGTGGGAGTGACTACTCACTTGTGCGGTGCATGAGCTCGCTACGCGCTGCAGTCCCGCCACTCCCACTGTCCTCCCACGGCGACACTGAGTGCTAGTAACCACGTCTCACTGCACTTAAGGGAATCTTCATTCAAACTTACAGCTCTCGCCGGTGTGGGGACATAAAGAGTGGGCTTAGAAGACCAAAGTTTTCCAGGGGAAAAAAGGAACTCAGAGAACGCTCTGATGTTGTGAAAGGACAACAAATCCCACCTCAGAGGCTGCATTCTGCAGGGAGTGGAGGCAGTGAAGCTTCTTCAGGGAAGCCCAGAGGAAGGTTTAGGGAGGCAAACTTGGGTCCTGAAAGACAAACGCAGTCTGAGTAAGGGGGTGAGTGGAGCGGGTGCCGTCATAGTGCCGAGTGGCTGCAAAGAAGCGCCTTGTGAAACACAGAGGATGAGTTCATCCAGGCACCAATCCCTGAAGGTTGGACTGGGATGAACTGAACATGCTGACTGATTCTACTGTTAATTAGGCCCAAGGCTCTATCTCTATATGGAAACCAGTTTGGCTGTTAGAAAAAAGAGGCAACTGGTCAACCCCAGTCAGCTGCTTCATATAGTATATTTGAAAATGAGGATGCATTAAGATGAACATAGCTAGGAGGCACAGGAAATGGAAAATTCACAGAAATAGCGTATGTATTGCAGCTGGGTCGCCCAAGAGGTCTACCGTGCCTGCCAAAGGGGAAAGCCCCAACACAAAAAGGGAAAAATTAAAACCCCAAGCTGTTTGTTCACTTTGCAGTTTGGACAGATCACTCCCTAGAGGAAGAACAGAATACATTTCCTAAACAACAACGTGACCAGGACAGCACTGGGCCCAGGCCCGATGGAGTCAACGTTTAGTTCCCAACTTGCCCCTGGGCAGGGGATACAATGAACCACACCTTTCTACACAAACATCTTAAATAGATGAGAGTAGCAGATTTTATTTAATTAAAATAGATTAAAAACAGGCTGTGTAAAAGAATTAGAATTCTCAATAATTTACTGTTATTTACATTACCAAATGCTGGTCGTTAGTAGACACTGTGTGGGGGCCGAGAGCCTACATTTGCTGTGGCCGCCCAGCCTTGAGCTTCCTCCCCATCCCAGCCCCTCAGATTGCCATGGCCAGGACGTCACTGGGCACACGAGAGGGCAGCTCCGGACGCCCTGGTCACAGCATTGTGCCCTGCACTGCAGGGCCGAGAAGCTCACGGCCAAGAAGGGATTCTTACCCTCAGGCCGAGGGCACAGGCACACCTGGTCTTCGGTGAGTTCTCCTTTCGGTCCAGTCCTCCCCACGTGCCTGTGACCCCCGGAAACGCTCCTCTGGGGAGACCCAAACCTAGATTCCGAAGAGACCATGTGAACCCAAAACAAAGCCATGCATGTTGGCTCCCGGGGAGATCCTGAGCTCCCAGACATCCCCTACGTTGTCTAGAACTTGGCAACATGTGCCTCTGCTGTGTGAGGGAGTGGTGGGGATCAGAGGGACTGGGTGGCCCGGACACTTGCCCGAGCGGGGCACTCCTTCAAAGATGCAGTGCCAGTGGGAGGGGGCCCAGCAGAGCCCATGCCCTGCAGGCTCCAAGCGTGGGCAGTGAGCGAGTCCCAGGAGCGGAGAGGCAGGCTGTGGCATCGAGAGGACAGAGAAGACCCCTCAGAAGAGCAGGCGGAGTGGCCTACTGAGTCAGGACCCCAGGTGGATGGAGGGGCCAGGGTTGCTGATCCCTGTGCCCAGCCTGTAGCCAGTGGGAGCCCTGTGGCTCCGCTGGCAGGACACCCAGGCTTCACAGCAATGGGCCTGGGACCCCAGGAGGTCAAGGGCTGAGCAGCAGCTGTGATCGCCAGAGCCACGCGGTGGACAGCACCACCATGTGCAGTCAAGGGCAGAGGCGGGGAGGCCTGATGGAGAGGCTCAGTCCAAAATGTCCGTCTCGAAGGGCACCAGGTGGTAATAGGACAGGTTGGTGACATAAGCTGCTGGGTCATCACCATCCTCCAGCTCCAGAGTGAACTCGCCACCATTCTCAAACCTGAAACAGGTGAAGCCAGCAGTGAGGCCTGGCTCACTGAGTCCCAGAGGGGGGGAAGAAAGGGCAGTAGTGGCCCCTGGAAGGCACCGAGGTGTCGCCACTCTGTGAAAGGGGTCAAGGGACCAACACTGAGGTCTTAGGAGGCGTAGAAAGAGCCAAGATTGCAAATTAGTTGGGCGAAGCAGGTTCCACTCTACAGACCTCCAGAGCTACGTTTGTTTAAGCAAAAGTCACTGAGGTCTTCGTTCCTTCCTTCCCTCTCAGTCAGCTCCAGGTCCCTTGTAGCTCTGGGGACCACAGTGGACAAGACAGGCAGGGCCTGGCCTCAGGAAGCAGGAGCCTGCTAAGGAGACCGGGGCAGGGGCAGTGAGGAGGCCAGGGAGGTCACACGGCAAGGGTCCTTGTAGGCCGGAAACCTGAATTGGGGTGGTGTTGATTCGGGCCCTGAAGGATGAGGGGGATCTGGACGTGCAGGGAAGGGGGTGAATGAGGGAAGAAGGGTCCGGGTCACATGGAGAGGAGGCCAACTCTCGAACTTTGTCCTGGGGCCTTGTCAAGGCCCCGACAGCCTGCTGTCACCTCTCAGCTCAGAGGACAACATGAGACAGGGAGAGAAGGGGACTTCGGAGGCCAGGGGACAGTGTGTCACCGGCTCAAGGCCCGGCCCCCAGCAGAGCTGCCTCGGCCCTGGGTGATGGCCCAGGAGCCTGGTAGCCCCTTCCGCCTCTGGACAGCCACTGGTTCCATCCCACGGGGCCCGGAGCACGGTCGCTCTCTGTCCCCAGCATGGCACCTGCCCACCTCAAGCCAGAGCCTGGGCTGCCAGCTGGGGCTCCACCGAGAGACGAGGGACCTGTGGCAGGCTGGCAGCAACAACTCATGGGCTGGGGCCACTCAGAGCCTGCAGTGCCACCTGACAGCCCCCGATGGCCCAAACAGATGGCTCCTGAGGGACGGCCGCAGCCAGGCCTGGCAGCCCCAGGCCAGGGAGGAAGGAGACCAGGGAGCGAGCCAGGATCTCCCTGCAAATGCTCCCAGCCGCTCCAAGGCTGTCCCGGACCTGACCACAAAGCTCTGCCCTTGACCTCTCCCCAAGAAAATGGCGGGCCTCGTCCCACAGTGCTCTGGAGAAGGGAGGGGTCCCTAGAACACTGCGGATTCGAGCTCAGCCCCTGCCCCAGCCAGAGGCAAGGAAGGGGCTCCCCCTGTCTTCTCCACCTTGGTGTTCCCTGGCCAGTGACTCCTCTCAAGAAGCTAAGGACTCTCCTCCCATCCTCCACGAATCCGCATCCACCACGAACCTCCTCAGACCCAGCCCTGTCCGCACACGGGAGCATGTGGGGCGCACACAGTGGGTACAGGGCCAGGGTATCCTCCGCACCAACACCTCAGGCTCTGCCGGGAGCCCCCGAGGCGAGGCCAACACTGAGCCCTGAAAGCAGCCCCTTTGAGCACAGAGGTGCATGGCCCTCCCACCCCAAGACAGTGGACCCTGGACCTGGCGATTTCTCCCAAAGCCCCTACATAATCACTGATTCGGTCTCCCCCAAAGGCACCAAATCAACTTCTCACCAGACTCCAGGAAAGACAAACTTTTAAAATAAGCATTCACACATGCAGAGGGCCCAGGGCTGGCTGCCTCCGGCCACATCCATGCTTTCTGTAGAGCCTGGCCCGGGTGATGGCAAGGGGACCCCTTTATAAAGCCATGTGCAAGTCAGTGTACTCACAAGTGCTCTGCGGGATCCACGGCCTGGTGCTGGTCTTTTCCATTTGATATACTGTGGTCAATGACTATCGTTTCCGTGTTTGCCAAGCAAAATCCGTTGGATCTCATGATTTCTGAAAACCAAAGCAACAGGTGAGTTTGCAGCAGGGATCTGAGTTGAGGTTTTTCAGTTCTTTGCTTTCCCCTCCACCTACTGTCCCTCATCTTCCACACAGCACCCAAGGCCCATTCCAGACTCTGCCAGACTGAAGGCGCTGACTGAGCCAGAGCAGCCCCGCCCGCTGGCCCCATCTCTCCCTGGAGACAGACGCTCTGGCAGCCTGCACACCTCCAGGCCCCCTTCCCCATGGGGTCAAAGCTGGGGTGGAGAGGCTGGGCTCACTCTGTGACTCGGGTTTGAGACCAGATCTCCCACACAGTGGTGTGTGACCTCTCACAGGTGACCCAAGCTTTCTGAGCCCCCATTGAGCTAAGACAGGGCCGACAGCATCGACCAGCCAGGTTGCTTCAAGGATCTAAAGAGACAGGTTTGTTTTAAGCCAGAGGTGACTTGCACATTTTAGCTCCATACAATTCTACTCAGGTGTTGATGTTTTCTTCCCCCAGTAAGCACAGATGTTAGTAATTCAGAAACGCCACCAAAGAAAACGACATCTCATGTCTACGACAGCTGTATGGCATAGATTGTGAGGGCAGAGTTCTGAGGCTTGTCCAAGGCTGGAAGAGCTGGCATGGAGAATGTGTGGCAGTGAGTTCCAGGGCCCTGGGACTCGTTTTCCCACTGGAGTTTCAAAGTGGTCCTAGCTCATCTTCAGGATCGCTAACTCTAAAACATTGTGAACTGTGGACCCACCCAGTCCACGTAGGAACAGTGGTCCTTTGGTGTCCACGGGGCTTTGTTCCAGGACGCCCAGGGCACCCACTTTGCAGGTGCCCAAGTCCTTCTGTAAAATACCACAGAACCTGCACACACCCTCCCATATGTGCTAATTCACTTCTGGTAGCTTCTACTACCCAAGGCCGTGTAAGTGCTACATCCATAGTTGTCGTACGTCTTGCATTGCTTCGGGCATGGTGGGATTTTTTTCCATAAAGTTTATTGGTACATTTTAGGTATGAAATACAGTTGCATTCATCATTGGGATCTTGTACCATTACATGAGTCTCTTGGTTCTTTTTTTTTTCCCCCTTCTCCTGCCCTCCCTTCACCCCTTCCACCCTCCCTATTTGCAAAGACTTTGTTTCCGTTTTTTTCCTTTTCTCATATTTTTTCTTTTCCCTTCTTTCCTTTCCCCTACCCCCCCCAATTCCCCTGCTCCTTTAGACCTTTACATCCGATTACACAATATCTATTATACATTTTTTAAATTACAATATCAAGATCTAG